TTAGCAACGAAGCACCATACTAAAAGAGATATGATTGTAATATTTTATACTTCAATTGAGATGTAATAGTACAAGTAATCGTGTCAAAGTAGTGGTTGGACTTCATGTGTTTGGTTGTGTTCGTTAAGTTGATCTTGAGCCTAGTAATGTGTTCGTTGTAAAGAGATTTGTTTAACACATGATTAATTGCTAAGAAAATTAATTTGAATTATTTAAATATAGTGTGTTAATACATGATAGTGAGATATTTTATCTTAATGCAGTCAGAACAATAAATGAATTGTTATAATAGCAGTACATTAGTGTGTATAAACAATTCCAAGTTAAATAATAACTTAATATGAAATTATTGTAAAAATAAGTATAGTTATAATTACATTAAATCAATTTTCAAAACTTTTTAATTTAACAAATCATTTGCACATAAAAAAGTAGGTGTACAGTACATCATTATATAAATATGCTTATAAGAGTCAAAACTAATTATTATTTTGCGGAGTTTGAGGAACGTGGCTACTATTATATATTATATATACGTGCATGTGCGTCTATATATATTGTTGCATTTTTTAGTCAACGTATTTTAAACATATGTGTATATACATACATACATACATACATATATATATATATATATATAATGAAAAGAAGCAGGATTAGTAGGCATGATTTCATAATATGATCCCAAAATCTGATTTATTAATATAATGAAAGTTTAGTGATCCACAGCCATCACCAAGTAAGAGACGCGTCAGCTTTGATCAAATTGCACGTAGACCCGACATTCCCATGAGAAATTCATTAATTAATTATAATATTTTAATTAATTATATTATATATATATATATATATATATATGTATTCTTACCAAATTTTCATATCACAATTGGAAAAGTTATAAATTAGAGTGTTATTAAATTTTATGATTTTTTCGACTTGTATTTTGATTTTTGTAATTTTCTTTACAATTTAACTAACTTGATATATTACATTTTTAGAGTAAATTACATTAAAATTTACGAATTTTGGATTTACTTACAACTAGATTGAGTATATTGTTCTAATTCAATATATTTAACTTTTATAATTTTATCTGAGACTATGATTATTTTCTAATTAAAATAGATATAAATTTTAAAATAAATTGAAAATAAAATCTTAAATTTATTTACAAAAATAGGGTAAATAATAAAAAACAAATGAATGAATTGAATTAATGCTGCCTGCCTGCGTTGTAATATCATCACCACGTCAGTGACAGCTTCAATCCACATGTCTTTCTCATCTTCTACAACTATCTCCCAAACATGACCTTTCCTAATTCATGCGTCATCATATACATAATAATAAACAAATAAATATCTATCCATTTTTGTTTTCGTAATTATTATATATATATATATACATATATGTCTCACACATATATATAGCCCTTCCTCAAAGCCATTTTCACTCACCCGATACTTCTACTTCTATCTTTCTTCTCTGTTTTCTCTCTCTCTCTCTCTCTATATATATATATATGCACATAGAGAGAGATACTGCTAAGATAATATTCAGGGGAGAAATTATATTTAAAAATGGCAATTGGGCAGTTTAAAGATGTTGAAAATGGTGAAATAATTAACACACTTGAGGATCTGGAGCAGCCATTTATTACTAGCAGCAAGCAAGAAAAAGTTGCAGGTCGTGAAAAGGGAGACGATCCTGATTATAGTCTTCGCCATGGTGGATCCATTGGGATGGTCTTGCTCAGCACATTCGTTGCTGTTTGTGGCTCCTTTGAGTTTGGCTCTTGTGTAAGTATACATACATACATACATACATACATACATCAACACATTTGTATATTTAAACATATATATGTATTCTTCCATTATTTCTCAATCCTGGGAGTTCCCAGCTTTTTTTTTTTTGTTCTTTTAAAAATTTATATAATAATAATTAGCAGAGTTCTTGATGGACTAAATATTTTTTTTTTTGTTTTTGTTTTTTGGTAGGAACCTGGAAAATAAAAAACAAAAGAAAAAAATCCAAAAAAGGAAAAAAAAAAAAAAAAAATTGCGTTTAGCTTAAGTTAATTCTTTTGACAGGTGGGTTATTCAGCACCGGTTCAGTCTTCAATCAGAGAAGATCTTAATTTCTCTCTAGCTCAGGTTTGTCCTTATTAAATAATGATTAATTATATTATTATTATCTTAATTAAGTTTATTTTATTATTCTAATTAATTAAGTAAATATTAATTAATTAAAAATTGGCATGCAGTTCTCTTTATTTGGCTCTATATTAACCATTGGTGCAATGATTGGTGCTGTCTCTAGTGGCCGGATTTCTGACTTCCTTGGTAGAAAAGGGGTACGTTTAATCATTTTCTTAGTAGATTAAACTTTTTAGATAATTATTTTTTTAGTAATTTAATTATAATTTATATGCTCTATATATTACATTTTTTTTATGTAATATATACACTATATAATCAGTGTAAAATACAAGTTTATATGCACTGCTATTATATCAGTTCATACCCTAAAAAATTTTATTGTCTCTTTGAAATCAGGCAATGAGATTATCTTCTGGCTTCTGTATTGCTGGGTGGCTGGCTATATACTTTTCTACGGTTTGTATTATGTATTATGTGTATATATATATATATGTATATGTATATATATATATGTTGAAGTTTGAAGAAACCTTGTTTTGGCTTTATAAACCATTGTTGACTCTTGAATGTTTCTGATACAGGAGGCTCTCTACCTTGACATGGGAAGGTTCTTTACAGGATTTGGAATTGGAATTTTCTCTTACGTTGTAAGTATTTAATTAATTAATTATTATTTTTTTTTTGCAGGAAAACCAATGAGCTATGATTTTTCAGTAGGAAAAAAAATTTCTAACTGTCATTTTTCTTTTTTCTTTTCTGTCAAATTTTGATCAAAATATTTTAAAATTGTGACAATAGCCAAATTAATAATAAACAGGTCCCAATCTTTATCGCGGAAATAGCACCAAAAAATCTCCGCGGAGGATTAACGACATTGAATCAGGTCGAAAATCGTAAACTTTAATAAGACAAATGAAAATTACAAAAGAGAAAATATTCATTAAATTTTTCTCATATCTTCTTTGAATTTGTCCTGCAGCTCATGATTGTTATCGGTTCTTCGGTTTCATTCTTAATAGGAACTGTGATAACATGGAGATCACTCGCTCTTACCGGTAAATTTTAGTTTCAATGCATTGACATTAACAATTAAAACCTTAAAAATAATATTATTGTAAGTTCGAACTTATTTATTAACCGTAAATATTAGTATTATATCCGTTGAAAAAAAAATAATTTTAAAAAATTGTAATCTGCCGGTTAAAACAATAGTGTTTACCATTAGTAATGATATGGAAAATTTAGACAAATAATGGTAAGAAAGAACTAATTTTAATTGTTGGGTTTGATTTTGAAGGGCTTATTCCATGCATTTTCCTGCTTGTTGGCCTCTTCTTCATCCCTGAGTCTCCTAGATGGCTGGTAAGATTTCGTATGTGTCTATATATGTATGTATACAATAATGATTTATGCATATTGTTTAAGTGCAGGCTGACACTATGATTTGCAGGCAAAGGTTGGTTGCGAAAAAGACTTTCTTGTCGCCCTGCAGAAATTACGTGGAAAGGATGCAGATATCACCATTGAAGCTGCCGAAATCAATGTACTATAGTAAAATACTTACAGAAAATTCATGGTGTTCTAAATTTTAATGTGACGAGAAACTGACCAAGTTTTGGCATTAATAGGAGTACATTGGAACTCTTAAGACTCTTCCAAAAGCAAATATTCTTGAATTGTTCGAGAGCAAATACATTCGATCAGTCATTGTAAGTAACCATTAATGCATAATTTTTCCATTTAGTATGTGATTTTCTCAAATTCTTTCGCACCTTATTGAAATGTTTTAAGCTCGGACAATTTATGATGTTTAGATCGGTGTGGGATTGATGGTGTTCCAACAATTTGTCGGAATTAATGGGATAGGATTCTACGCTAGCGAAACATTTGTAGCAGCTGGTAGGTTACTGTCTCTGAACACTTCAATGTAGCCTTTGAGTTTTTCGTATTGAAACTCAATTCGATTATTGAATTACAGGACTTTCTTCGGGAAAAATTGGAACCATAGCTTATGCTTGCATTCAGGTATTTGATCTTATATAAATAATAAATTGATTAACCATTTCAGTTTAAAATTTTTGAATCATACAAAGAAATTCGAACATAACCATCTCTAATCTGGTCATAATCTTAATGGCAGGTTCCGATAACTGTCATTGGAGCGATGTTAATAGATAAATCTGGAAGAAGACCACTTATAATGGTATGTGGTCCTCATTCTACTTTCGATAACTTGAAAAATGAAAATTGACACGAGAACTTTTCTTTGAATTCCGGTGACCCGAGAAGTTTTCTTCAAAATCTTGTAGGTTTCGGCTACTGGCACATTTCTTGGCTGCTTCCTTGCAGGCACTTCCTTCTTTCTCAAGGTTTTATCACCAAGATGCCTTTCATAAGTTCTATTAGTCCGTTATGTCTCAATATCAATCTAAACTTTGTTTATGATGGATGTGAACCAGGGCCATAGTATGTTGCTTGAGTGGACGCCAATTTTAGCTGTTGGTGGAGTGCTGGTAAGTGCTGTCAATTATGAATACAAACTTGGTTTAACAGATATATATATATATATACATATGTTTTTACAATGAATTTACAACGGTTTTGATCCAATTTTTGCTAAATGAAAATCAGATATTCATATCATCGTTCTCGATTGGAATGGGCGCGGTTCCTTGGTTGATCATGTCCGAGGTAATCTTATTATAATAATTCTTGCCTTCTTAATTTATCACATTGCACAACAAATTCACCTTAACCTTATGAAAACCTACATATATGTAGATAATATATGATATTTTCCTTGTGTGTTACAGATCTTTCCCATAAATGTGAAGGGAGTTGCAGGGAGCTTGGTGGTGCTGGTGAATTGGGTGGGTGCTTGGTTAGTTTCCTATGCTTTTAATTTCCTCATGAGCTGGAGCTCTTCAGGTAAACACCCAACAAAAATTAGTCTCTAAAAATATAATTTTTTTTTGAAAAAATTCACAATTGAACTGATCCCTTTTATGTTAAACATGTGATTTTCAGGCACATTTTATATCTTCTCTGCATTTTCAGTAATGACTGTGCTGTTTGTAGCAAAGCTAGTCCCAGAAACTAAAGGAAAAACACTAGAAGAAATTCAGGCATCCATCAACTCATCATAGAACAATTATTTATATATATATATATATCATATTAGGAAAAAAATCTATCATTGATGGCTCGAGGATCTTCGACAATCTGCAAATCGTGTAGCATTATTACGTTCTTCATCAAAATTCATCGGAGGTTACTTCTAGTAGAGAACATTTAAAAGTGAGAGCAGCGGAGAATAGCAGTGGCATCGAGTATTTCTTATGTTTTATTTGGAAAATTTAATTAGGAAAACAAGTAGACACATTATTTTCTCATTCCTCCTACTTTTTTGGTTATGTAATTTCAAGCTTTGCTTGTAGCTAGTTATTTAATAATACATTATGCATGATTCTCAGCTGCAGCTACATGTATCGTTTTTACTACATAATGACATAAAAATTGCTAGTTGACCCAAAAACAAAAAACATGAATATACTGTTCGCAAATTCATATTTAATATAATAAAATGAACGAATTAATTAAATTCACGACATAGTAATTTATTTATTTTAATTCGAGTTAATAAAATGAGCTTCTTATTTGGTTTAGAATAAGATAGTTTAAAGTAAATTTTAATTTATAGTTAACTAAAAATTATGCACAATCGGGTGCCAGCTTTATAATTATGGACTTTTATCAACTTTCAGTTTACAGATTTTCTTATATGCAACTCATTAATTTGCAGATTTTATAATAAATTAAATCATAATCTACTCTACAAATACAAATACAAATTTTTATTTTTAAACTACAGATTTTAATTTATTATTATATAGTGAATTTTTTTTTAATGCACTGAGAAAAAAAAAAGGTATTTAAATAATTTAATAATATTTAAGTTGATAATTTTCTAAGATTCTAAAAAGTTCTTATACATGGTTTAAATCTAATTTGAATTAAATTGGTTCAAACTTTTGAAGACTCTCCTTCCCCAGAAAGGCAAAAAAGTAAATGCAAACGGATACTGTCTTAAGAGGATTGCAGCTTATCTGTAACCAGCAGGCTTCAACTCATGGATATATTATGCAATTCTGAATGTGAAATCCGTAATCGTTTCATATTCCTTCTCTCTGTCTCTTCGGCGTCATATTGAAAAGGTGACGGTGAATTGCTTCTTTGGATTGCTAATCCCTATTGTTTCTGTTTGCATGAGAAAATGCAGGAAAAGTACAGATAGAATCGAAGGATTTCGATATCGGTTTAATTTTGAGAAGGCGCAGAGTCAACTCTATCTCTACGATTGCGCAGTGTTTAATTAGCTTGCTTAGTTTTTTATAGGTGGCGCTCAGGGCTATTGATTTTGAAATTTGATTCTTCGTTTGCTTTATCTTTTTTCTTTTACTCTGAGAAAGTCGGTGCTGTGAAAATAGAGAGAAGGCATGACTTCGAGTGTAAGTTATGCGGTAGCTTGATTATCTCGTTCTGATAGTGAGATAACTCTTGAATTTTATGCCTTTGATTAGTTTATCTTTAGATAATCAAGCACCATTTTTGGTTTAATTAATTAATTTTTCTTAATTGTGGAGTTTTTTTCTGTGATATTCTGATTCAACGTTCATGGCTAATGGTTTCGGTTATTCTTTTTTTTTTTTTTTTTCAGAATTAAGGTGGTCATTTCTAAGCTGTGGGGATGTGAATGTGCCTCTCTTTGCAGTGTTTGTTCATGATCGTGAGTTGGAGTAAGTAAATTATAATCAGTGAAATCGATATAAGATAAATAATGAGTAACCGTGGCAAAAAGATCAAATCTTATGAAGATGGAAATGCCGCTGAAGAGTTTTTTCCAGTTCGGAGGAGACGTCGACCAACTGATCGTCTTGATAATGAAATTGTTCAACTAACAAAGCTTAGGTCAGAACCTCATGGATTTTTAGGCAACGCGGCACCTGGCAAGTTTAAGCTGCCTGTTTCAAGTGTTAAAATGTTATTTGGTCGGGAGAGTAACTCCTCTGGAAGAGGTAGGTTCTCCTCGGCAGATAGTTGTCATTTGTTGAGCCGATATTTGCCCATCAACGGTCCTCAGATGGTGGATAGCATGAATGGTCGTGTATATGTTTCTCAATTTTCAGCTGATGGCTCTCTTTTTGTCGCAGGATCTCAGGTATGGACTTCAAAGCCAAGCTACATATAAAACAGTTGTGAAACTAGAAAATGTTGGTCTTAGAAATGGCTAGATATAATTTTATTCTTCTGTGGTTTATTTTTCAATCTGACATTCATTTTTAAACAGGCACAACAAATTAGAGTATATAACGTGGAAAGAGGGTGGAAAGTTCAGAAGTATATCCATACAAAAAGCATGAAATGGGCAATAACAGATACATCTTTGTCACCAGACAAACGTTTTCTTGTAAGTTTGTTGATATACCATACAAAAAGATAAGCCATTGTGTCATACAGATACACATGATAATCTGTGTATTTGGTGCTTCTAAAGGTAGGTTGCTTTAGATTCGACTAAGCGCTGCATGTTTTTGTGTTTCTCGATGAACACTAGTTACTAACTTCTTACCTAATTAATTAAATGAATACCAGCCTAGAAATTACATGGCTGGCTGATGAGGGACCATCTTATTTCATACACATAAGAACATCCTTTGCAGGTTCAATTTGGTCTTTGTCTTTGTGATAAAAATTCATTAGCTGGCCATAGGAAATGGCTTGGTTATCCCTAAATAGGTTCCTTTTTGCCAGTTAAGTAGGTTCTTGTTTGTTGGCATGTGATGTCGGGTATTGACATAGCTTCCACTTCTTAGAGTGGCTTGTTATTCTCATGTGGATTTATTTTCTCTTATTCAATTCAAATTTATTTTGGATGAAAATACTGCAGGTTTATGCTAGTTTATCCCCTGTTGTTCACATTGTAGACATTGGATCTTCTACAGCGGAGCCATTTGCATACATTACGGTATGTGCTACTTAGCTTAGATGCTGCACCAAATATTAACTTTCTAATCTCAGGAAAAGGTTTTTAATGTTTAAATATGATTCTATCTTTCATACCAAGAAAGGATTTATGATGATCTTTTTCTGTGTTTTTGGAAATGGAGGACCAATGGTCTGGCCCAGTGGCTAAGCCACTGTAGTTCACATTTGTCTTGAAGGTTTTGATAACCTAAACGTTGTTTAATTTTCCGAGAACTGGAGGTACATATCATTCCAAGTATGCACAATCGAAAAGCAAAAGGGGAAAACAGAATACGTAATAATGGAGGACTTCATAATAGGAAGCTAAACTAGAACAGGCCTCCTAAGCTGATATTTCCTAAAGAAGCTAAATATTCTTACTGTACATGGAATACATAAATCCCTAAATACATACTTATTTTGTATCTTTGATACTATTTGTTAATAATATAGTTCTTCCAATTTAGTGTCTCTCTGTTTTGTGTTGCCAATCAATGCTAGAAATTTGATCTTTTTCTAGAGCCCTATATATTATAAATTAGCTTGATCACTTAAAGTCGATCTTCAGGAAAACCAGGTGAAGTTACTGTTACCTAGTGCAACGAGTAGTCATTAAGTCTGTTATTTTTCCTAGAAGATTATAATAAGTGGTTATTAGGTTTAACTAGATGTTGATTTACTGAAACACTTTTTTATATATATTCAGGAAAATCATGAGGGACTTAATTTTGCTGGTGAAGATGGTGGTCAATTTGGGATCTTTTCTGTAAAATTTTCTATTGATGGAAGAGAACTCGTAGCTGCATCGAATGATAACTCGATATATATTTATGATATTGAATCGAAAGTGTGCACCCTGAGTATCCCAGCTCATCAGGTATCCTAATTGATATCTAAGCTGATTAAATTGTTTTTTAGTAAGAAACACATTTTGTAAATGTGATACAAAGGTGTAATTTTATTTCATCCATTTATTTTATGACAAGATTTATCCTCATCATTCACATAAACATGAAAAATGAGGTTTAGAAGTTTAATATCTTTTGTACAATGTATTGCAGTCTGATGTTAACACAGTATGTTTCGTGGATGAAACTGGCAATCTCCTTTATTCTGGGGGTGATGATCGCCTTTGTAAGGTAAACATTATTTCGCTTAAGGAGGATTACATTCACTTGCATGCCAAGCACTGGCCATAGTTATATTTCATGCAATCAATTCGTGGATGGTTATAACAGGAATTATTTGTTGGATGACATTTAACTACTAGTGTTTGCATCATAGATTCAACTATTAAGAGATGCTTTGCATTGTGAGTCCCCTTACGGAAAAAAATATAGCTCACGATTAAGTAGTTCCTCACCTATATAGACATGTTGCATCCATTCTGAGACGTTAGTTCTAAATTCAGATATTTAATCAATGGGCAGAGTTTGCAAATAGGAAGGATAGTTTCTCTTTATCTACAGAAAATAGAACTTCTTTCTGCAACTGATTTTGTCCCTGATGAGTGACCTGAAAACTTGATTTAGTTGTTCATGTCTGCACCTTGAAGTATTAAAGTTCCTCATAACTTGATCCTCTTCCACTTCTTATTCTTCTATTTCAGTTTTAGTTTTGGTTAGCCGAATAAACTTGCAACTGGATACACATGGTTACTGATGGAATGACTGTTTTGTAAAGCTCAGAAATATATTTTTCATGTTGCTTTAGATAATCTCATTTGCGTACTGGTAAAAAATTGTTTGCTTATTTCTTGGATTTCTAGGTGTGGGATAGGCGATGTTCTGTCACGAGAGGACGAGCAGCTGGGGTGTTGATGGGACACCTAGAAGGCGTTACATTCATTGACGGTCATGCAGATGGCTGCTATTTTATCTCAAATGGGAAAGATCAGACTACTAAACTCTGGGACATAAGAAAGATGTCTTCTAATGTCACATTGTATGTCAATATCACTTTGTTCCTTCTCTCCCTTTGTTAGTTACCTTTTTTTTTTTCAAATCTTTATGTTTGCCCTTGCTAATAATCATAGTAGATTTAGGTAAGTGGGATATTGATAATCTTTGTCGATGAAAGTTAATTACTCCCCTCAAGTATTTATTTCTATTACCAAGTGATAATACTTCTGACTGAGACATCAATTGCGATCATTATATTGTTATTACTATTACTAGTTTTACTACTATTATTATTATATATTATTGTATGATTTCATTATTTGTCTCAAGGGTTCGGAAGAGGAATACTGTTCAAAGAAATATATGCACACATTTGCTC